CACTCACAGTGTGGTGGCTCCTGAAGGTGGCATCATCATTAAGTCTGGCTCATTCTGAGCAAGGGGATCAGATCTGCTCCTGACCTTGCAAATCTAGGGTTTGCTCTTTCTGGGCTCTTCTGTCTCTGCTCTGAAGCTCTAGAGAGAGGTCTAAGGGCAGAGGGGCGCTCTCTTCTAGGTCAGACTCCTTCACAGAGGCCCCTGCTTCCTACCTCACAACAGCTGCTTTGTTTCAAGGCAACTGGGACTTGGGCCTGGCATCAAATCAATTTTAGGATCGCAAACCTGACTGTCTTGGAATATTAGACTTAAAACATATACAGCTCACAGAGCAGAAGGAGCCAGGAGTCTCAGCACGACCCAAGGGGCCTGAAGAGACACTAGAGATCCCAGGATACATTTGTCACAAAGTGAGATTCTATCCACATTCACTCAGAATTTTATCCCTGGGGATTAGGGGACAGTTCAGTCCTGAATGGTGTGAGGACACTAGAAAGAGTGTGAGAGGCGGGTAAAGCACACTAGTCTCTGAACAGACGCTTCACGCCCGGGCCAGCCTGTGACCTGCACATATCACCTCAGCAACCTGAGGCCTCCGTTTTTGTGTGTGTGTGTGTGTGTGTGAGGAAGATCGGCCCTGCTAACATCTGTTGCCAGTCCTCCTCTTTTTGCTGAGGAAGACCAGCCCTGGGCTAACATCCTTCCTCTACTTTATATGGGATGCCGCTGTGGCATGGCTTGACAAGCGGTGCGTGGGTGTGTGCCGGTCCGAACCAGCGAACCCAGGCCCAAGCAGAGAGCGTGAACTAAACCACTGCGCCACCAGGCAGCCCAGGTTTGTTTTTTAAATACTGCATCATTTAAAAAAATGCGGATAACTATACCCACCCCACAGGACGGTTGTGAGATTCACTAGGCAGGCAACAAAAGGGACAGCAGTTACCACTTATTCTTAGTGAAGACACTTGGCTACGCGACGCTTCATGAGTGACATTTTTTGGAACGCCAAGAAACAGTCATTATAAATATCCTGATTTTCAGAGAAGCAGCCTGATTCTTACCTAGGTTCCTTCTCTCGTCGTGGATCTGTCCCCCTGCCTACAGGAGACAGAGCTCGGACCTGCTCTGTCGGGACCGGGGTCCCGGTCCGCGGTAAAAACGCACACCCTCCCCCCACCGCCGACAGGGGCTTCTCCCGGTCGGGCCGCAGGCGGGCCGGGCACACGGTCCGCGCACACCCGGGCCGCCCGGGACATCTGCTCCTGACGGGCTCAGCCGCACCTGCGCCCCGGGAGCCCGACGGCCAGAGTCACTACCTGGGTCTTAGCGCTCACATAGGCGCTGGGGGGAACCTCCCCGGGGTTTCTGGAACTTCCGGAGACGGGGGGTGGGGGCTGGGGGCAAAGGAGCGGGCAAAAGTTCCCCAAACACCGCGAGGCCCTCGCCCCTCAACCTTCTCACCCCAGGTGCTAACAACTACGCAGATGCAAAGACACCGAAACTCCGCGATACCAGTCCCCGCGAAGATGCGAGACGCGGAAGGAAGGAGGCGGAGCATGCGCAGAAGGTGCCAAGAGGACTGGCCTGAATTCCGCTGAGGCGGCGAGACTCAAGGTTACCCTTCTGGTAAGCGTTGGCGTCCGAGCTGAGGTGACTTTTATGGCTTTTCTGGCAGTGAAACTTGAATATGGCCAGGACACTGGAAATGTTAAGGAAAATTACAGTTAGTCTTGTTAATTATGAAAATAATGGTACGGTTATGTAGGAGAATTTACTTATTTTTAAAAGTCATGCCTACCGAAGTATTTAGGATGGAAATTAAATATCTGTCATTTTACAAATTCTCAGCCAAAACAATTAGGCAAAGAAAATAGGACAAAGTGTGAAGATTTTGTAAATCGAGGAAATAGGTATATATGGATGCTTATTTCACTGTCTTCTAATTTTCTGTTTGAAAATTTATTTGAAAATAAAATTTTAAAAAATATGAATTTTCCTCCAGCAGCGTGCCTTTTAAACTCAGAACTGCCGAGAGAAGTCAAGGACATCTCTCTTGGGAATAAAGCTGTGAAATGTAAATAAAATGGTAGAAAGTGAAGCACAGCCTACCCTAAAAAACTAGTGTGTGTGACCAACATGTTTACCTCAGAAAAGAAAAAAAAGCAAGGTGGCTTTTCAGAAATACAAAGTAATACGCGAAAATACACACAACGACAATAAGAGGGTCGTGCAGATCACGCATCTTCCGGAGATGTGCGTGACATCAGACGCGTCTTACTCTGTCGCGTACATCGAGCGGGTTGGGGCCAGATTCCTTTCC